TTTAAGTTTAATTTACTCGTCTTTTTTTTTCCCCTTTTTGGCAAATGTGAAGGCTGAATGATCAATTTTTTTAAAAAAAAATGCATTCCTCATTTTAGGCTTCCTACTCACCCCAAGAAAGGCAGCTATTATGGTGTCAGCCCCTTTGCTGCAGGGGGACAGGAGAGCACCCAAGATGCTTATCTATCAGCAGCCAATCAGGGAAGTAAAATGGATGGTGTTTTCAGCTGCAGGGCTTCTGCAGATAAAACCTGCTGTTGTTAAGGGGAGAAATTACTCTTGCCTGATGCACACTGTTGTCTTTGAGCTAAGCACCCGGCCTTTGACACAGCTCTGACAGCACTGCTGATTACAGTTTGGACCCACATAGACAGGAGATAGCAAGCAGAGCAGAGGTCTTTCTTTGAGCGAACTGTTAAAGTGGCAATAATCAGCCAGTCATTACAAATGCTTAGTGGGGGGATGGGGGTGGGTGGGGGGAGAGAGAGACAGAGAAAGAAAAAAGAGAAGGAAGGGGGCATCCCCCTCATTTTGCACTTGTCATCTTTAGCAATTTGCATTTAATGAACCCCTTGAATACAGCTTAAATTACATGTCAAATGAGGGACAGAGTTAGCTTACACTTGAGTGGTCCAAAATAACAAAAAAAAAACCCAAACCCTACCCTGAAGATGAAACAATAATTACTCTGGAAATTGTCATCCTGGAAGAGTAGGGAGGAGTTGGCAAGGGCTCTGAAGAATATTAGGATGTTAAGAGATGCTTTGCTTAATCACACAAAGGCCTCTCTAGCTCAGCTGTACTCATGTCTTGTTTCCTGTTAATCTGCGCTCTCCTTTCATATACGACACTTGGCCATGCTAATGAAAAAAGGAAATGTCCTTTTGGAGCTAGTTTTCCTAAGCCAGGGTTTCCTAGAATTCCTTTTTTCGGGGGGAATTCTCTCCCTATCTGTTAGGGAGACGTGGTTTATCTTCTTTGATGCCATTGTGCACTATAGGGGATTCTGGGTAAGTTACAGGACAGTTCATATGGAACATCAGCAGACCTGTTTGATAGTGTACTTACCTTGCTGTGTGATGGGTATAAAGCAGATAGTTACAGAGCTTTGTTATCGTTACTGATCTTCAGAGGAAGTTCTCTAGATAGAACAAATATAGGCAAACGTCCAGCCTGTTACCTCAAATCTGATGTAAAGTAAGGGCTACGCCCAGTGTAAAGTGGTCGCACAGGCAAGTGGAATCATGTTGAATCTCATTAATCTGATACCGAAAAGACTTAAATATAAACATTTATATCTGAGATCAAGATCTTTAACAATAAATAAATGAAGAGGAATGTCTTTTTGTATTGCTATTATAGAATAATTTAGAGTTGGAAACCATTGACGATAACTTGCAAGTCATATCTCTCAATTGTTTGCCAGCTTTGCTATAGACCACTGTTAAATTAGTGATAGAGTCTAATTGTACATTTGCTTAAATAACTGTTAAGTATCTTTATCATTCACATGGGTCATCTATTATTATATTTTATACAATCCCGAGTTTACGTAATGAATTTATTCTATGGTTCGAACTAATCTTGAAAATTATATGTCAATTTACTATAAAATCTCCGGTAGATTTATATAAATTCTTCGCTATTATAGAGTCAGGTTTATTTCTGAATATGTGATTTTGCTACTAAAATGGATAAACATATTGGAAACGTAAACAGATCCTATATAGTAATTATTAAATGCTCAAACAAGTACATAAAGTATTTCAAACACTGTTAAGTTCTGTACAGGTAGTCCTCAATTTACAACCATTCATTTAGTGACCAATTAAAGTTATGGCAGTGCTCAAAAAAAGTGACTTACAACCAGTTCTCGCACGCATGACCATTGTGGCATCCCCATAGTCATGTGATGCAAATTTGGGCACTTGGCAACTGGTATGTATTTATGACAGTTGCAGCATTCTGGGGTCGTGATTATCATTTTTGACTTCTGAGAAGCGAAGTCAGTGGGGAAAGCCAGATTCACGTAATGACCATGTGATTCGCTTAAAGATGGTATGATTCACTTAACTGCAGCAAAAAGATGGTAAAATTGGGTGTGACTCACTTAATGACCATCTCACTTGGCAATAGAAGTTCCAGTTCCAGTTGTAACTGTTCTACTTGTAATATATAAAGTATCTCTTGATGTTCTTATGAGGAAGCCAGTTAAGTATGTTCTGGATGGCGTGATAATTAAGTGGATAAGACACCAGGCTAGAAAGCAGGAGACCATGAGTTCAAATCCTGCCTTAGCCAAGAAAGCTAGCTGGGTGACTTTGGGCCAGTCACTCTCCCTCAGCCCAACCCACCTTCACAGAGTTGCTGTTGTGAGGAAAACAGGAGGAGGAAGATGTGTTAGATATGTTTACCACTTTGGGTTGTTTGTAAAAATAATTAAGGCAGAATACACATAAATAATTGTGTTCAGAATAACTAAATAACTGAGTGGTTATTTAGAAAACTGAAGGAAAGTATGGAGAGAGAAATCCCAATTCTCTGTCTTGCACTCTTCAACATTTATATTGATGTGTTAGATGAGGAGATAGATGGAATATAATATATTTATAAAAAAAGTAATCTGGAATAGTAATTGATAGCAAACTGAATAAATATATTCCTTCAAAAAAGGCAAATGCCATTTTAGATTGCATCAACAGAAGCATAATTTCTAAATCAAAGGAAATAATTATATTCATTTTATTTTTTTTGTTGGTCAAGTACTACTTCCAGTTCTGTGCATTAAGTAAAATTCAGACAAATTGTTTCAGATTCAGAAAAGGGCAGCCTTAATGATTGGAATCTTGGAAGTCAGCCTTAAAAAGAGGGATTAAAGGAACTAAGAATATTTATCTCTGAGAAGAGAACACCACAGACAGTTATAGTAACGATTTTCAAATATCTGAAAGGATGTCACACTGGAGAAGATGAAGATCTTTCTTTTTTAACCCAGAAGGATTGATGATTTCATGTTACAGAAAGGCATGTTCTAGTTGGTGGTTAGGAAGAAATATTATAACAGTAAGAGGAGTGGAATCTGCTACCAGGTGGACTCTTTTTCATTTTATGTATTCAAACAGAGGTTGGACAATCATCTGTTGGAGATGCTTTAATCTGGAGGGTTACTGGACATTTAATTTGGAGGGTTACTGGACATTTAGCAAAAGGCGGATATCTCCTCCGTCCAGCAGACATAGCTTTAAAATTAAATATTATGGGGGTTTTTAATATCTTTTTTTATTTTTTTTAACCTGATAAAAGTGTTGTCATCTATAAGTTCGAAAGTACATAACGCTGAAACATATAACAGACAAAGAAAGAAAGGGAGTAGGTAGTTGTCGGATCTAAACGTAATAAATTAAATAAAGGACTAAGGTCGTTGGCCGAAGTTAGGTGGTGAAAGGTAGATACTGGTGACACCAACTAAGACAGTTTTCTTTCATTCTTATCAAATATAACAGGAAAAATATTATTTGTGAGAAATTCCACTCACATACTGAAAATAAATATTGGTTGGAGAAATGTAAGGATTGAAAAACCAGTCTTGGATGCTGGAGTGATTTCATCTCCATCTCCCTCCCTCCCTCTCTCTCTCTCTCCCTCCTTCTCCCCTCATTTGGAGGTTTTTTTTGCTTTTGTAGGAAAGTAGACCAGTTGTGTGTCCCCATCCCTCCCCCTTCCCCATTTGTCCTCATTTGCAGTTTTCTGTGACTTCCTTTGCTGGTTCAGATATCTGTAACCCTAAGTGAGCACACATTAAACTTGATGGCCTAAATCAGTAGAGTCTTATTATTTTCAAGACAATAAAATAAAGATATGGGATGTTTGATAATTACATTAATTTTATTCAGCCATAGATAACTTTTCATGACACATTTATGCAGCTAGTAAATTTCTTAAGGGATATTGTGTTTAGTCAAAATGAAGCAAAATGTTTCATAGCTCTATGGAAGTGTTCAAATATGACTTGCCTAATATCTACATGTGGTCCTTGACTTATGACTGCAATTGGAACCAGAAATTGGTTTCAAATTGTTAAGGCCCTAAGTTGAGGCACCCACATGACCAGCAGTGATTTTACCACCATTTTTGCTATGGTTGTTAAGCAAATACCATAGTCCTTAAGCAAGTGCCACAGTCATTAAGTGAATGTCACAGTCATTAAGCAAATGGTAGTAGTTGTAATTTATTTATTCATTCATTCAAATGGACTGTTTTCACCAGAAATCGGAAAAGGCTAGAAACCAGCAAAAAACTGATCATGAATCATAGTCACATGACTGCAAAATGCTGCAACTGATCATAAATGTGACCTATTGTCAAGTGCCTGACATGTGTCACATGACCATGGGAGGCAGTGCAACCATTTACCAAAGCTGGGGGGTACTATACTTGCCATAAAGTACTGGTTCCGTTGGAATCATAAATGTGAATGGTGATTAAGGAAACAGTTGTAAGTCGAGGACTAGACCTATTGGTAACATAGTATAGAGCAGGGATCCCCAACTCCCAGGCTGCAGACCAGTACCAATCCCACCAGGAACCGGGTCATGCAAGCGAGCAAAGTCCCATTCGTGCACGCACAGAATCCAAGCAGCGCATGAAACCACAATCACCCTGGTCCGTGGAAAAAACGCCCTCCACGGAACTGGCTCCCAAAAGGTTGAGGGGCCCTGATATAGAGCTTAGAAGGATCACTAGTAAAATCCTTTTTTACGACTGATGACTTTACAAAGAAATTAATCTCCTGCCTGCCAACGGGGGTACATGCTAATGGAGGCACAGTAGGACCACTTAAACTTTCTAGGAAACTATTTAAAGGGCACGGACAGCTGCATCACGAAAAAGAACCTTGTGAGTTTGAAGCTGTGATGCTTTGAAGTGTTTTCAATAACTTGAAAGGGGTTGTTTAAAAATAGTACCCAAAGCTAAGAGTGTACCTTTTTCCTCTGTTTCAGGTTTTAATAGCTGATGACTACTCTGATCCATTTGATGCCAAAAGTGAAGTCAATAAAATGGGGAAAGGAGAAAACACTGGCTACATGGAACCATATGAAGCTCAGAGGATCATGACAGGTAAGATGGTCACAAGGAGCATCTATAAGGCTGTAGAAGCCACATTTTTATCTGTCCTATTTCCCTACAACTGACCTTTTAGTAGGGTTAGGTAAGAGCAGTATTTAAGGCTGACATATCTTCTGTGTTTAGTGTTTATTAGTGAATTAAATTATTATTCTCAAACATCAATATGTCCTTTTGCTTTTCCTGTTAATCTGGAGTGTTTCAATTTATGTTTCTAAATAATACTTCCATTTTTTTTCCATTCAGGAGTCTTTATTTTGCATTTGCCATACAGTGTATGTGTGAATATATGCAGCCTTAATTGCTTGATGTTGTTTTTAAGGTGCCACAAATAGGTTCTTTTTTTTAAAAGTCTAATGCAGAGTCTTTTCATTCGCTATAGATAATGACACTTAATGATTTGCACTTCTGTTCTTCAAATGTTAATTATCGCTCTGAATAAGAGATTCATAATAAACACAATGTAAGAAAAGCCATAAGAGTTGCATTGCTAATCATGATGTACATTAACAACCATGTCAGACAAGACAACAGCTGTAAATTTGTTGCCATTTTATGAGATTTAGGCAAGTTGGCTGCGCAGCTGATTTATATACAGGGCTGTAGGGCTCTTTGGTATAAAGGCATAACCGTTTCTAAAAAATCCATGGCAATTGATGAACAATTGCACTTTCCACTAAAAGATTAAAAGTACACATATTCCCCAAAGGACAGGCATATATTCTGGGCTTATAATGTCATGCCCCTGAGCACTAACTCCCCAGAACAAATGATTTGTTAAAAATTTATTGACCGAGACTTAGCAAAGAAATTTCACTTGGGTCCTTACATTCTAGAGCACCACCAAACTTACCCTGTTTGGAAAACTAAATTAGGATAAACTGCCCTTCTACACTGAGACCCTTTGCTGTTGCTACAGGAGTATAACACTTAGGAACAGATCAATTTCCAGGGATCCCTAAAAATGTAAAAAAGAAAGAAAGAAAGAAAGAAAGAAAGAAAGAAAGAAAGAAAGAAAGAAAGAAAGAAAGAAAGAAAGAAAGACCATTTATATTAATGAAATAGGTATTGCTCATTTTAAAAATTAAAGAGTTTGAATGGTTTTATGTTGCTGTTCAAAATGCTTTAAACAGGCATACTGTATAACTTACCTTGAACCTGAAATTTCTACTTGTACATGCTCTTTTTTTTCCCTGTTAACCAAATGTGCAATTTTTAATAGCTAACATGATAGGGGAATTCTCAGATCTACAAGTATTGTTTTGATGTGTCAGTTTGTTCTTTTCAGTAGATCTCATGGGCTCTTGTAGCTAACCTTTACTGTGCCCTGTCAATATATATATTTAGTTTGCTTAAGATGTAAAAACTGGGAGACTTCTGTTAAGCACAGCATTTTGTAATTAACATTGTTCAGGGCAGTGTAATCAATTCTATGCTGCAGGATCATTAGAAAGGAATATTAAACAACCTAAACAAAATATTGGCTTGAAATTTAGAACTATTTTATCAAAAAACTATTTATTCAGTTAATTTTTCATATTTCTACACTTTAATCAAAGTGCCTAGAAGGAGAAATGGTGAAGACACAATGAAGCACCAGCTGCTCCATGGTTATAGATAGAAATTTCTCATCCTTTGTGAAAGATGAGGACATATGTAGACATCTGTCTTGCTATCTTCTACACTCTTCTTGAAAGGGAATTTCCCATTAAACAAAATTATTATTATTATTATTATTATTATTATTATTATTATTATTATTATTATTATTATTATTATTATTATTATTATTATTATTATTATTACCCTGGACTTAAGAATTGTCGATAAAAAAGACAAAAGAGTCTGGATAGTGGATGTGGCAGTGCCTGGAGACAGCAGAATAGACAAGAAAGAACTGGAGAAGATAACAAAATACAAAGACTTACAAATAGAAATAGAAAGACTGTGGCAAAGGCAAGCAAGGGTAGTACCAATAGTAATAGGCGCCTTGGGTGCAATCCCAAAACAACTGGAGCACCACTTGAACACCATTGGCATTGACAAATTCGCCATTAGTCAATTGCAAAAAGCGGCCTTACTAGGAACTGCTTCCATCCTGCGACGATATTTGTAATACTATCAAACTTCCACATCTGCCTATCCCAGGTCCTTGGTAAGGACTCGATAGGTAGACAAAAATGCCAAATCCAATCTGAACATCTGGCTGACTGTGTGATTGATGATGATGATGATGATTATTATAAGGAGAAGGAGAAGGAGGAGAAGAGAAGAAGTAGTTGGAAAGGATTTTGAAGGTCATCTAGTCCAACCCCCTGCTCAGGCAGGAAACCCTATACCATTTCAGACAAATGGCTGTCCAGTCTCTTCTTAAAAACTTCCAGTGTTGGAACATTCACAGCTTCTGGAGGCAGGTTGTTCCACTGATTAATTGTTCTAACTGTCAGAAAATTCCTCCTTAGTTCTAGGTTGCTTCTCTCTTTGGTTAGTTTCCATCCATTGCTTCTTGTCCTGCCTTCAGGTGCTTTGGAGAATAGCTTCTTTGTGGCAGCCCCTGAGATATTGGAACACTGCTATCATGTCACCCCTCATCCTGCTCTTCATTAGAGGGAACAATACAGTACAATCTCACTGGCCTGTTTTTATCAACAGTAAAAAATTTTAAAGCAAACCTGAATTCAGAAAAACAGTAAAAATTTTAAAGCAAATCTGGATTCATTCATTCATGTAAAGGAAAAGCAACACTTCAAGATGTTGATGAATCATGATGGATTTAAAGGATTTTTTTAATAAAAAACTAATATTCACATCTATAGTCCATGATACTAGTAAATAAAGCCAAAAGGCAGTTTCAGATACTGCATCATTGAACATCTTCTTAGCTGATTTATATTCTTGTCAGCCCCTTAATTTTATGTGCATCATTCTTGCTCCATATTTGTTGAAGACAAATTCCTTAGGGTTATAACAGTGGAAAGGTGAGTTGGAGCAAATTTGCTGGCTTAGTCTACATATAAATCATTCTATACATAAAACACTAATTTCCAAAACATATACCGGTAATATCGCTGTAAGATCTCAATATCTTTTCATCTTGCTGATTTTTGAGATTCCTTATCATGGTTTTGTGTAGTATCCCCTTTGGGATTCCAGTATATACTCCTGAAAGAGATTTGGGGGTTAACTTTGCATTTAATAATGAATTGTCCAGAATCTGATGAAATCAGAGAATTATTTTTATATGAAAAAAAAGAAATTATTTCACTGGAACAGTTATGAGCTTGCTTGGAAACAAATCTGTACATCATACTCACTTTGCCATATGTGTTATTTGAGAGTCATACAATTAAATAGCATTTTCATACATTTCATTTTATAATCACTTATTGTGCTTCTCTCTCTTTTTAATGACCTTACTTATTAATTCTTATAGAGGGAATGAAGATTGATATGTGGTTTTTCTTTCCGTCCTGTGGTTAGAAATAGAAGTTTGATACTGGTGAAAGTTTCTCTAGTATACCCATCTTTTAATGTGCTTTAGTTCCTATGAAGCCAAAATCAGAAGCTGTAACTGGACCTTTTTGCAGTGTTGTTTATGCCCAGTACACTTTATCTGAAGTTGTAATGTTGGAAGGAACCCCTAGCAGGGTAGCACATTTTAGGGGAGGTGTGTGTGTGTGTGTGTATTCTAATTTAATATTGATAAGATAGAAAAATGTGGGTTAGACAGCATCACCACCAGATGGATCCGTAGCTGGCTGACCGGCCGTACTCAGCGTGTGGTCCTCAATGGAACCGCATCTACATGGAGGGAAGTGTGTAGTGGGGTGCCCCAGGGCTCTGTTCTGGGCCCAGTGCCCTTCAACATCTTCATCAACGATCTGGACGAGAGGATAGATGGGGAACTCATCAAATTTGCAGACGACACCAAGCTGGCAGGAATAGCCAACACTCCAGAAGACAGACTTAGGATACAGGAGGATCTGGACAGACTTGAACACTGGGCACTATCTAACAAAATGAAATTCAATGGTGAAAAAAGTAAGGTTCTACATTTAGGCAAGAAAAATCAAATGTATAGGTATAGTATAGGGGGTACCTTGCTCAATAGTAGTAACTGTGAGAGGGATCTCGGAGTCCTAGTGGACAATCACTTACCGTAAATATGAGCCAGCAGTGTGCTGCAGCTGCCAAAAAAGCCAACATGGTGCTAGGCTGCATTAACAGAGGGATAGATTCAAGATCACATGAAGTATTAATACCACTTTACAATGCCTTGGTAAGGCCACACTTGGAATACTGCATCCAGTTTTTGTCACCGCGATGCAAAAAAGATGCTGAGACTCTAGAAAGAGTACAGAGAAGAGCAACAAAGATGATTAGGGGACTGGAGGCTAAAGCATATAAGGAACGGCTGCTGGAATTGGGTATGCCTATTTTAATGAAGAGAAGGACAAGGGGGGACATGATAGCAGTTTTCCAATATCTCAGGGACTGCCACAAAGAAGAGGGAGTCAAGCTATTTTCCAAAGTGCCTGAAGGCAGGACAGGAAGCAACGGATGGAAACTAATCAAGGAGAGAAGCAACCTAGAACTAAGGAGAAACTTCCTGACAGTTAGAACAATTAACCAGTGGAACAACCTGCCTCCAGAAGTGGAGAATGCTCCAACACTGGAAGTTTTTAAGAAGAGACTGGACAGCCATTTGTCCGAAATGGTATAGGGTTACCTGCCCGAGCAGGTTGGACTTGATCACCTCCAAGGTCCCTTCCAACTTTATTATTATTATTATTATTATTATTATTATTATTATTATTATTATTATTATTATTATTATTATTATTATTATTATTAACATGGGAGAAGAGAATATCTACCTATCTAATCTATCTAGTGTGTCTGTCTGTCTGTCCATCTATCCATCCATCCATCCCTTTCTTCTCTCATGCAGTTAAGCCTGGAACAGTTGTCAGTGACTACTGTATAACAAACTA